TACTTTCTATTTGTCCTGCCTGTTATACGTCCTCATTTTTCTCCCATCTTGCATTTATATTAATTACTTTTTATTACTCCATTCCCTTTCTCCCCCTTTTAGATTGGAAATTGCAGTGTGATGGTTAATTTTATGTGTCAATTTGGCTGTGCCACAGTGCCCAGATGTTTATTCAAATATTATTCTAGATGTTTCTGTGAAGGTGTTTTGGGATAAGACCAACATTTACATTGGTGGAGTTTGTGTAAAGCAGATTACCCTCCATAATGTTAGTGGGCCTCGTCTAATCAATTGAAAGCCTTAAAAGAACAAAGACTGACCTCCTCTGAGCAAGAAGGAATTCTCCCAGTAGACTGCTTTTGGACTTGAACTGCAACTCTTCCCTGGGTCTCCAGCCTGCCAGCCTGCCCTGCAGATTTTGGATTTACCAAGCCTCCACATCACTTGAGTCAAATCCTTAAAATAAGTCTCTCTCTTTCTACATATATACACATCCTGTTGGTTCTGTTTCTCTGGAGAACCTTGAATAATACACATAGTCTTTTACTATTCTCTTAGTGATTATTCGAGAGATTACAAGACGCATTCTTGACTCATCAGTCTACTATTAGTTGTAATGTTTCCCATTCTCCTAGACAATGCACAGATTTTAGAACATTCCATTTACCCTCTCCTGACTTATATACCATTGTCATGTATTTTTAAATACAAAAGACATTACCATTATTGTATTATATAATCACTGTCAATATTCATTTAGATTTACCACATATTTATCATTTTAATTGATCTTTATTTCTTCATGTATCTCTGACCTTATCACAACTGTGATCATTTTCCTTCTGCCTAAAGAATGCGTCTGTGCATCTGCTGGTGAGAAATATCCGATTTTGTTTGCTTGAAAATTTCTTAATTTCACCTTCATTCTTAAAATATTTGCTTTCAGTGCTTTAAAGTTATCACACCATCATTTTCTGCCTTCAGATAGTTCTGTTAAAAAGTCAGTTGTAAGGGGTCGGCCCGGTGGCATAGCGGTTAAGTGCACATGCCCGGGCGTGCACTGACTCACCGTTTGTCAAGGCATGCTGTGGCAGAGTCCCACATAAAGTAGAGGAAGATGGGCATGGATGTTAGCCCAGGGCCAATCTTCCTCGGCAAAAAGAGGAGGACTGGCATTGGATGTTAGCTCAGGGCTGATCTTCCTCACCAAAAAAAAAGTCAGTTGTAAGTCTAATTGTTGTTTCTTTAAAGGTCAACTCTTATTTTCTCTGGCTCCTCTTAAGAATTTTCTCTTTGTCTTTGGATTTTAGCAGTTTTTTCTTGATCTGTCTTTGTGTCAATTGTGTGCATTTTAAAAACATTTTATCCTGCTGGGATTCATTTGTTCAAATATTATTTCTTCCTAATACTGTCTTTTCTTTTTTCTTCTGGAATTCCAGTTATGTGCATATTAAACTTTATCACTGTATCTTCTATGTACTTTCCCTGTATTCTGTATTTTCCATCCTTTTTCTTCTTTGTGCTTCATTCTGTGTACTATCTTCTTACTTATCTTCTAGTTCACTAATTCTATCTTTACCTGTGTCTAATATGCTGTTATACCCATCACTGAGCTGTTATTTTCAGTTAGTGAATTTTTGGGGTCTAAAATTTTCATCTGATTCATTTTTCAGATTTTAATTATCTGCCTAAATTTTTAATCTTGTGTTTTATTTATACACAGTAAGCATTGTTATTTTTAAATCTGTGTCTGATAATTTCACTCTCTGAATCCCTTTTGGGTCTGTTTTTGTTCTCTATTGTTTCTGCTGTTTTTCTTGTTTCTTTGTGTGACTGATTATTTCTTACTGTGTACTAGACATTGTATTTGCAAAATTGTTTGTGGAAATGATTTAAGGCCTAGAATATTACTTTACTACAGACAGGATTTTAGTTTGCTTCTGCCAAGGGCTTGGGGGCATTAGCTCAAAGGAATTACCCTAATCCAATCTCAGAGTTGAGATGATTTGAAACTGAGATGTCATCCTTTCACTTCTAGGATGTAGCCATTTGGCTTCCTCTTCCAAAGCAAGGTAGCTTTGACAGAGTTCAACAGAGCAACCCTCACTGAAAGGATAAATGGACTTCCCTGGGCCTCTATCATTGCTCAGATCATGGCCTGGTAATTACTATCGTATTAGCTCTCTGGTGCCTTTGAGCTGATATTTTTTATATTTTGCTAAGTTGTTCTAGTGTACTCAGCAGGAGGATTTGTCCAAATTATTGCCAATACCAGGGAGTATAGAAACATAGATATTATTAATAAAATATAGGTAGTTGTTCTTAAGAAGTGCATTGAAAAAGATCCTTAAAGGAAAAAAAAATTAGACTTTCATTCACAATTTCACCTTTTAACCCAAGTGGCAGACCAATATTTAGGAATTTTGTATCCTAGTCCTGGCATCACATAATTTGAGGAAAGTTACTTCTTTTATTAACAAATATTATTGAACATCACCTCTGTCCCAAAAGCTGTTCTAAGAAATTAGACTATAAAGATGCAAAAGACACGGTTATTGACCTAAGGTGCTTGAAGTCTACATTCCTTATTGGTAAACTGGTTATTTTTGGAATCATTAATTTATGATCAAAAAGTCTTTTGTTAAATATTTGTAACACAATGATAAATACATTTAAAATATAAATATGTATATTTGAGCTCCTATCACCATTCAGCCTAAATATGAGGGCATTTTAAACTATATATATAGTTTAAATATATATATATTTTTAACTGTTTAAACTATATATGTATATAGTCTAAATATATATATATATATATTTTGTGTGTGTGTGTGTGAGGAAGATTAGCCTTGAGCTAACATCCATTGCCAAGCCTCCTCTTTTTGCTAAAGAAGATTGGCCCTGGGCTAACATCCATCTTCCTCTATTTTGTACATGGGATGTTGTCACAGCATGGCTTCACAAGTGGTGCATTGGTCTGCGCCTGGGATCTGAACCTGTGAACCTTGGGCCGCTGAAGCGGAGCACCTGAACTTAACTGCTACACCACTGGGCTGGCGCTTAAATAATATATTTTTAAATGCATTTGTCTTCCAGTAAAGTTTACTATTGAATACGTTCCTTTAAAGTATTTTGGAGAAGGAAGAATACAGGCTTCATAAGAGATGTTAAATACCAGGCTCTTCTTTTTCCTAAAGACTTAAGCTCTGGTTTCCTAGCCTTTTTACTTTTGAAAACTCCTGGGAAAAGATACTCATTCTGAATCATCATTATTTTTAATCAGAACTTTTCCTTGGTAGGTGTTCAAAGTCCTCTAAAATAGCCTCTAAGTATACAAGTGTCCCTGGACTCTAAACTAAGTGTGACAGATTTCCTAGGAGATGTGAGCCTTACCCGCAGAGATTATTTAAACATGCCCAGCCTCTCTGGTAAATCAGTCAATAGAGATGACCAGTAGAGGGAATTTAGGTTGCAGTAGATTCATTATTTGACCTTGGACAAGTTATATATCTTTTCTGGATTTGTTTTTGCATCCATGATAGATTGGGCTCCTAGATGATATACCTCTAAAGTATACATAGCTTCCAGTTCTCAAATTCTGTGATTCTTTTAGAGTTGAGGAGGACTGTTTGCCCAACTGAGTTTAAAAGAGTTTAGAAGGAAAAATAGAAACTAAAGTTCAATATATCAGGTAAGATATGAGTACAATAATCTGCAAGGAGATGAAGACCTGTATTATGTTAGTGGCCACTCTGACAGTGGCCAGAAGAGATAAAACAAGACTGAGGTCTGAGGAAGCTGTGGCTCTCCAGAAGCCATTTTCTCTCACTATTCCCTTCTCTCCTCTGCTCCCTTTCTACTACACTCTTCCTCCAGGAACTTCCTTCAATTTGTCCACATGAGGGGGCAACGGTGATCGCTGTGAAGGGAGAAAATAAAGCAACTCTTACTTCAGTTGAAGCACAGTGTACATTTGCCTTGTGGTCTTTTACTCTGAATGCAGCTGTGAGGCCCTTCAGGACAGTGTAATGAAAAACAAATAGAACTAGTAGATGATGTTGGATAAATCATATAAATGCGTTTTCATCTGTAGAATGTGGGTCGAACACTTCCATTTTTGTTTTTATATATTCTGACGCCTGTAATTCTTGTATATCTCTGTCATCCCCACAGCTTTATTATCGGCAGGCAGCCTGTTTCACTCAGCTCACTTTATACTCAGAGCCTGGCACATAGTGAATATCCAGTTAACATTCATTGTTCAGGAAGGAAATGAACTTCTGTTAGCACCTACAATGCATCAGTCACCGTTCAAGTCTCTTTCATACACATTTTCTCTTAATTCATTCAAGACATTTGTGAGATAGGTATCACCACTCTAGTTTTTAAAGATGTAGATATAGATATTCAGAGACAACTATCAGGATCATAGTGATAGTAAAATGGAGGCTTAGTTCTGCCACTTACCTTATATTTGACAGGTTATTTTTCTAAGCCTCAGTTTCCTTATCTGTAAAGTGGGAATTCTGTAAGTTAGTATAGGGTTGGTAGATTTAGCAAAAAACAAAAAAACAAAACAATAAAACAAAACAAACGAGGAAGTATATCTCAAATGGAGCATTCTTATATTAAACAATTATTCCACGTTTATCTGAAATTCAGATTTAACTGGGCACTCCTGTATTTTACCTGGCAACGCCATCTTAGCATTATGGTTATGAAAATGCATGTAAAGGACTTAGTTCCGTCCCTAGCACTTAGCGAGCGCTCTGTAAATGCTATACTTATTAAATTTTGGATCTGATTCCAAAGTCCTTTTTTATTACCACAAACACGCTGAACTCAGTTTCCAGATAAAATTTCAGTCAAGAGAGGGTAATAATACTTTAAGTTTACATTAGTGCTTCACCGTTCCTAAAGCGCTTGGGGAAGCCCACAAAAGCTAGGGCTTCACTGCGGTCCCAGAACAGGCACCCGGGGCCGACCGCCCCGGGCGACTACTCTCGCCCCGCCCCGCTTCGCCCCGCCCCCTGCCATCTCGGCCATTCAGAGGCCGCGCCGCGCCCCGCCGCACTCCTATAGGTCGTTCCTGGGACAGGCGAGGCCTTTCCATTTTCCCGCCTTCCCCAGCCTGTCAGCCTGAAACCGGCTAGCCTACAACGTCTCCGCCCTGCCTTCCGTGCGAGCCCCGCCCTTCCGAACACCGCATCCCCCTTCCTTCCCCACCCGCCGTTCTGGGCAGCCTGCGGGGTCCCGGGCCCGGCCCTTCGGTAGGAGGTGGGAGGGGAGAGGACAGGGCGGGGCGGGGCGGGCCGAGCCCCCCTCCCGAGGGGTCGCGAGAGGCGGGGACGGGCGGGAGGGGCGGGGCTAATCTCCTTGGCGCCGCGTTGCCACGGCAGCGGGGGAGGGCGGGGAAAGGGGGAGGAAGCGAGCGGGAGGGGGATGTGGTGCTCCGCGGCCGCCACCGCAGCTGCCGCTGCCTGCTCGGTGCCGCGTCTCGCCGGAGGCGGCTGCTGGAAGCCGCCGGAGCAGCTGCGGCGCTCTGCCATATTGTGTCTTCCCCTGCCCGTCCTTCGCCTCCCCGCTGCGGCGGCCGAGCTGACGGTGAGTCGCGGGCGGAGCGGCGCTCTCCGGGGCCCGCGCCGCCCGGCG